CTAGCCGTCGTTCTTGTAGAAAATTTTCAATCCAACTCAGGATTGGGTCGCCAACTCCGTAATTCCGAAGCTTGTGAAGGAGAATGCGATGGTTTAAGTGATCAAATGCTTTTGAAAAGTACAGGTAGATGACAGCGACCCCTGCTCCATCATCAACAGCTTCAGTCCAGCTATAACGTGCAAGTAATAGGTTAGTATTACACGAATGCTTTTGACGAAAGCCATGTAGCTCTGGGGCTATTAAATTGTGGTTTTCCAGATATTCCATCAGCGCATCTGCGATGATTGATTCCATCACTTTGGATAGTACTGGAAGTAGTGTTATTGGACGGTAGTTGGCAGGATCAGTGCGGCTACCTCCTTTATGGATAAGAGTGATGACCCCTCGCTTCCATACTGGTGGAATACGGTTCTCCTCTAGACATCGCTGATAGAAAACAGCCAGTGGTGCTGCTAGCTCACTAGCTACTGCCTGTAAAACATTTGGTCGGATGCTGTCAGTTCCCGGAGAACTGTGGATACGCAAGGATAACAACTTCTTCAACACAGCTTCTGCAGTGAAGGTGATGTTTTCCAAACCCGATGGTGGAGTAAGGGGAATGAGGTGAATGTTTGTGCTCCTTACCTCCTGGAAAGTTTGGGAGTAATGAAGCCGTAGGAGATCAGCTGCTTCCATTGCTGACCGCGTGCACCCATCAGCCGTGACTAGTGCTGGAACCCCTCGCTTTACCTTTCGAAGGCCGTTAACGTGCCTGTACAGGAGTTTGCGGTTCGTGTAGAATCGCTTCATTAACTTCTGCTGATGAGTGACCTTGTCTTCGCGGATCGGTTTCACACAGAAGTTACGATGAGTCACGTATGCAGTCCAGTTTTCGGCAATCGGGCAGTCCTGGTGATCTCGCCATGCCAAATACCTCCGGGACATACATTTACGTGTCCTGCTCCTCAGAAATGAATTACGCTTGCTTTTAGGTTGGACTGACTTCTGCTCTGATGCGTGCGTTACCAGTGTACTAAACCTGTTTGTAAATGTTTCCCAGGCAACATCTGCGAGGCATTCGGTTAGGAAAGTCCAAGGTGGTAGAAGTGTAGAGAACGACATCAGCCGTTGTACTAGCTTTTCGTTGATTTCATCAAGGCATTTGATACGGTGAATCCGGAGGCATTGTGGCCGATTTTGGGTAACTTTGGTTGTCCGAGCATGTGTGTAAGTTTAATTGCATGTCTGCGCAATTGTATGAAGGCGAGGGTGCAGCTGAGTGGAGAGACATTGAATGACTTTACAGTCGTCTCTGGTGTGAAACAAGGCTGTGTGTTAGCTGCAGCACTGATTAATATTTCTCTCAGTACCATGAGGCCTTGTGTTTTTAATGTGGCCTGTGCTTACAATGTTCGTGTGGAGCACAGTACTGGAAGTGGTTTGCTGTACATCCGTTTTTTCGATGCGAGAACTCTAGTCTGTGAGACAACTATCCATATGTTGCTGTTTGCTGACGACTGTACGTTCTTTACCTATAGCGCGGATGAGTTCCAGCACATGACTATTGCTCTGAATGCGATAGCGGCCAATTTCGGTCTCACACAAGCAAGACTGTCTTTTTCAGGTTTCAACGGGACTAAAGTCCGTGGGCGTGCCGAAATCCAGATTGCCGAGGAAGTGTTGGAAACCACTTCGAGGTTTCGCTACGTTGGTAGCGAAATAACAACTGACCAGCAGATGACACGCATGCCTCGCAACCACGTATGGAAGGAGGATTCTGCCTCTGTCAAGCTGGAATGCCGTGTGTGGAACGACCACCAGCTAGCTGTTGGGACAAAGCTCTATGGCGCTCCTTGATGCTGTCCTTTCTTCTATGCGGCAGCCAAACCTGGACGCTTTATCGGCAGATTGTGAGATACCTGAAGCGGTTCCATCAGCAGTGTCTGCGCCGTATTATGTGCATCGACCGGAGTGACCTAGTTGCAGACACGGAAGTGCTCCGACGCAGTGGTTTGCATGCAGTAGACTGCATGCTTCTGCTGCGACACGTGTGGTAGCTCTGTCATATTCGCCGAATGGCTTGGTTCGGGATACCGAAAAAGCTACTTTATGACCAACTGAGTGCTGGGAAACGGTAAGTGTTATGATACCAGGACGTGATCGAAGCGAGACTATCACGTTCTAATGTTGATTGCAGGTCATGGGAATCGAGGGCGGTTGGTCGGCATGCATGGCACGATCTAATCACGAAGGCGGTTGCCGAGGTGCACCAGAAAGCGCTCGTGCATGCAGAGAGGAAGCGGCAAGTGCGGGAGCGACAGGCGCCGATGGCATGTACTCCAACAACCTCGAGAGCATGGTAGTGTAGCACATGCGTTCGCGAATACTTGAGTGAGGTAGGTTTAGTGAGCTATGAGCGAAGTCACTTAGGTCCAGCGTCGAATCGACAACGAGTCCTGCTGAGAACGTAAGCGGAACCGGCGCAGCGGTAGGTATGCTGCATTCGATTTTACAACCGCGTGCTTATGTGTTGAGTTTCTTTATTTCAGATGATTTGATTGCTATCTTCTCTTAGTGTTGTTTTCATACCTTTTAATGTGTACCTGAATAATCTATTAAACTGAACATCTAGCGTAAACTAAAGGTGGTTAACTTCGCTTATTTTGTTCCCCTTACATAGGTAGCTTGATAGCATTTTCTACCATGCTTAATATATCACCGTTAATTTTATTGTCAATTTATTTCAGATGAAATTTAGCTGCATATCCGTGCGGTGTATTCAAACTAGTTTCTCCTACATTTCATTTCATGTGATTGGCTGTTGCTTGTTATCCCCGGTGTGGCTGCGCTTGATATGCATGCTGACAATGTGCCCACTTGTCTATTACCCACTACCTCGTCCATGCTGCTTGCAAGAGACAGTAGGTTGCCGCCGGAAGGGGCATGGTGCACCGTGCTTGTGGCCGTGCTAGGCGCGAAGAGTGGTTCTAGACACTCAGCGTGGAGACGACTAGGGTCCAGCAACCGCCTTGTGTGCGCTTGATTCCCAAATACAGGGTGCTTGTGTTTGTCTGTGAGGGAGTGTGGGCCAGCTACGTTGATGAAATATGTCTCCCATCCACATGCTTCCCGGTCTTATTCCTTCTGGTTTACGCTGGATATGGGGTGTGTGGGTGGAACTGTGAGTGATGCAGTGCAAGCCACCTATGGTCCCTTTGTATGCGCAGGCATTCTGTGGCTGGACAAAGTGACAGGCAAATCTCAAACCTATGGCATTATAAGCAGTTTGGTCAGCGTACTGGTTACAGAGGAGTAGCAAGGGAGTTGCATGGTATAGGTAGCAATTCCCCACATTTAGCCTCACTAAGACAGCCGTCACACGCCTGAAAAAGCACTGTACGCTCGTTTCATCCTCTTGGGAATCGTCAGCAGGGCGCATTCCATCGAACCCTGGTAGGGCTCGAACCAGCAGCTCGACTGTTGCTAGTTCGTGGTTGAGACCGGTGAGCTACGGGGGACGGTAACGACCCTCACGAATTAGTTAATGGATGTGATATAGCGCCGCTCCCTTCCCATTGGCTTACATGTTACTGTGGTGCAGAGGATAGGGTAACCCCTTCACCAAGCGAGGAGCTTACCAAATATAAGCCGCCAATTAACTTTTGGCAGTATAAGCAGTTTGGTCTGCGTACTGGTTACAGAGGAGTAGTAGTAAGAGTTGAATGGTATAGGTAGAAATTCGTCACATATAGACCCACCAAGGCAGCCGTCACACGCCCGGAATAGTATTTTACGCGCGTTTCATCTTTTCGGGAATCGTCAGCAGTGCGCATTCCATCGGACCCTGGATAGTTAACAGCACTATATCACGTCTATTAACTTATTCACGGTGGTCATTCCCGTCTTCCGTAGCTCCGTGGTCTCAACCACAGACTGGTAACAGTCGAGTTGCTGGTTCGAGCCCTACCAGGGTCCGATGCGATGCTCACTTGTCCAGAGAGCATGAAACGCGCGTACAGTGCTTTTTCATGCGTGTGACGGCTGTCTAAGTGAGTCTAGATGTGAGGAATTGCTACCTATACCATACAACTCCCCTACTACCCCTCTGTAAATCTGAAACCGGATGCAGCAAACCACAACCGTTATATATACATATATATACGTACATATATATAGACGTATGGGTAATAGACAGGTAGGCACCTTGTCAACATTTTCGTCATTTCTCCAACTTATTATCGGGTAAATTTATACTTGTTATAATGCGAACATATAGGTCCGTTCACTATGCACACAAGTTTATCGGCATACTCTTTGTAACTTTTATTATTCTCATCTCTGCCAACCTATGGAATCTGTCAGCCGTCAATATTTCTCCCGTTAATAACTGTTTCCAAAGCTTCATGGTAGCAGTTTTGTTATGGTCATTCTTCTATTGCATTTCGCTTTAGCATACAAGCTGACATTTTTGTCAGTGTTTCTGATTTCATTTGCTCAAACTGGCATATATCTATGATTAAGCACCCATCCGCTTTTTTACAAAGTGGTTAAATGAAGGCCAATGTATAAACTAGCATAGTGCCGAGATAATCTTGCTGTGTCGCATCAGAAGCGCGTAGAATATGGGCCAACATGCTCTGTATTCTCCCAGCTTTAGGAATTGTACTCTTTTGTCGCGAGCGAGAATTCAGAAACTTCGAGACGTTTTGATGATATATTGAGTACAGTATGCTTCAAGTTATCTTACACTCCTATTTGCTGACGTTTGACGTGAACTCAAAAGGTTGTGTTGCGATTCACGCCAGTGGTATGAAGCGGGTACATCTGTACCGACGATGGAGTTTACTCAATAGTACGACGTGTCCTGCGCAAAGATCGCACATGACTCCACCTGCATTCCAACTGCTCTTTATAAGGCTCCGCATTAGCGGCTTGTAATCGCTCATTTTAAACGAGTTTGGGCCTGAAGTGTCTTAATACGTGCGACCCAGAGAATAAAAAACGCTCTGCAGCATTTTCAATGACATCTAATGCTTTCCTTATGATCTTTTATTTCCTAATCAGTTTCGCCGCAATTGAGACGGTACTCGCAAAACGGAGGGACCAGTACCATCCTGTTGTTCTGGTTCCTGGTATAATTGCGTCTAGAGCATACGTGAGATCAAGGGGAGAAGTGGGTGTACCATTTAGACAAATATGGCTCAACATCAGCAGTTTACTAAATCCGAAGCAATTCACACGAGAGTTTGGGTATGCACATGCTTCAGTTAAATAAACGACATCTCCTTCCTTATCCCTAGACTAACGTATCAGAACACAACCCAACGATCATACGATAACAAGGAGTTTGAAGTTATTTTTCCCGGCTGGGGAGACACCACAAATCTTGAATACCTGGATGAATCACAGAAGCTGATTGGCCAGTATTACAACACGGTTGCGGAGGAGCTACTTACAGTACCGTTTTATAAGCGAAATATCAGTCTTAGGGGTGCACCGTACGACTTTCGCAGAGCAGCACGTAAGATATCCGAATTCTGATTCTAGATACCTTTCATTTGTAGATGAAAATGAAAAATTCATGATTGAATTTAAGTATTTAATAGAGGAGACGTATGCTCAAAATGAGCTGAGGAGGGTAGTCATTGTCGCTCACAGCATGGGCACAATGTATTGTCAATATTTTCTGAACTCCCAGTCGCGGTCATGGAAGAAAACCTATGTTGAAGCGTTCGTGGCTCTCAGCGGTCCTTATGGAGGAGCTATGAAAGCCATGACAACAATTGCAAGTGGTTAGTTCAACTTCGTTTCGCATTTGTATAAATAAATTGTATAAATACATTGTTCCTTCAAATTCGTAATGGCATATTAAACAGTGATTATCATGACATAGTGAAATTAAAATTTCCACAATAAATCTCTGACATTACTTTGAAAATCGGACAAAATATTGTATAGGCTTCTGTTTTCTATATTCCGAATATCAGGAGAAAACTACGGCGTTCCATTTTACCCGACTTTGGCTTTGAGACCGTTACTGCGGTCCTTTACTTCACTGGGACTTCTCTTACCCGATCAGCGGTTGTGGCCCGCGGAAGAATCTACTATTATTACTCCAAAAGTCAACTATTCTATCCAAGACATGAAGGAGTTCTTTGAGGATATCAACTACTCGGTTGGTGAGTCCCAGTAGTTGTCTTTTCTTGCCTACCACCTAGGGACAATTTGCTTTCCTTCAACGTCAGTGTGTCGCGCAGTCTGCGAAATCATCGATTTGGATGCATCCGCATAGAATCATTCAGTGGTTGAAAAGATGCAGAAGAGCGTCTTCCATGTAGGACATGTTTGTACACAACAAGCATTTTCAAAGTAGCTATACCAGCGTGCATAATGTGCATTAATTGTAATTATGCAATCCTTATTTATCCACGATGTTTAAGTTTGGTAGCTTTTATTCACTGACGGTTGAAGTTGAAGGTTATTGCGAAGGGTTATGCCTTTAGGTCACTTACAACATCTTAGCAATTGCCACGGCAAATGGATACTGCGTGTTGATCGCCCGTAAACGCTGCACTCCATCACCGATATTGAACATTTTAGTATCATCAGATAGATAAAAAGCAACCTAAATCAAGGCTTTTGGGATACAGGTAAAAACCTCGGACCCCAAACTATCTAGTCGTGGCGGACATTGCTTGTCAAATGATCGGTCCAAAACAAGGAATGTATCCAGCTGGCCGAAAATTATATACCACTTACTTAATTTTTACAAAATGGTTAATGATTCATTAGGAGGTCCTTCTGAAGCACTCGCAAAGCGCAATCTCAATGGGGACCACGATTCGCTTTGTGGGTCACCTCGATAATTGGGACCATAATTGAGTCAGAGGGAAGTTTGATGCTGCAGCCCATCTGCTACTGTCACGGTCTAGGGGATCGAACTTACCAAGGTACACATTTAGATTGTGATTAACAAAACGACTGTTCTAAAATGACCCATCCGGTTGTCCCGTGGCTTCCTCAAATATGCCTGAGGAGACGCAGAAGCAGAGTTTCGAAATTCATGACACCACGTCTTCTCGATTTAGTATGGTTTTCTCTATTGTAACTCATAATATCTTCAGGCCCGCCACTAACGGTCAGCGGAACTATCTGTGGTTGTAATCCCTAGGTAGACTTTAGACCAACCATGTATCGTTGCCTTTGAAACACATAGACAACATGCAAACGCTTGCCGTTGGAAAGGAATTGTAAAAAGCTGTCAGTCTTTTCAAAATTTTGTATGCTCCAGCACAGGGAGTCATAGAAACATGAATTCAAAAATCATCACTCTACAAACAGTACTTGCACCGGAGAAATTTAATTAACTGAAATCGCTAGAATGCTCTTCTAGTCCACCACCAACAATCTTTGGTGTGTATTACTGGTGTACCCCGAAAAGAAAAAACGGCTGTTTAGTGCGTCTCTGGAGGTGCAGTAAAGCCATTTTGAACGACCTCCCGTGTACAAGAACATAAGTAAAATACATCCAAGCTGGTGTATTGTATAAGAAGGACAATTATTAGGAAGTGCTTTCGAAGCCAATTTTATAGTTATTATTCAAACTTCAAAATAAATACAATTTGGATATACCTAGACACTGCATACAACAGTTTCATTGGCGGTGCAGATATATCACCTAGATGGATCACAACGTGTGTACTTTGGCCTATGCAAAAATAAGTGGCAGTTGCTTTTACCAGTCTTGCGGATTCTAGTGCGGTGATGGATGAAAAAGTTTTTGTTCTTCATTTCTGTATCGGACGGCGTTTGCGTGTCTGAATTTACCTTAATTTCAATCACCAGTGGTATGTCAACATTGCCCGCGATTCGTGCACCCATTTACCATGCGCAGTGGCTTAGTATGAGGGCGGAGGAGACGGTAAAGCCTGGGAGGCACGTGACCTGAGGCGCCATTTTTAGCAAAGTCGAGTTTTCGATACCAAATATAAAATGCAAAATACCCAAATAAGCTCAGGGTTGAATATTTTAATGGTACTGAATGACCAACAACACATATGTGCCGTGTTGCATCAGCGTAAACGTTCATCTCAGCAATCCCTAACTCGTCTCATGGTGGTCCATGTCATTCATTTCACGGAAATATATGCACTTTATCCTGAGCCAATTGTGCAGCCTTTAAGCGCCTATTCTGCTCTCGCTCAGAGCGAAAAATCTGCCACCGGGCGACAAAATTAGTTGCTACGCCACTTCCTAGGCGTATGGATATCTAATGCTTAAACCCCGATTACTCTTTTCACACAGTTGGTAATCTCTACCAAACAAAAAGCAGAGTAGTATATTCGTAACTGTGATAGGCTAAAGTGCTTGTTCTCTCATGATAGCCGAACTTTCCCTTAGCTGTGTGCTTGAAATCACATCAGTGACTTGACAACTGTCTCATTATCTCTTTCGATGAATCCAATTGGCTTGTTGTCTCAACATTTGCCACCCTGATATGAATTGAAGGGGTGTCGAAAGGCTCCAGTTGTGGATCCAGCCTGCGTATGACTTGGTGGTACTCGCAAGATTATGCACTTTTGCGGATCCGTGGGTTGTACAGCTCAAACTAACAGTGTCTATTCTTGATATAAGGAATTTCGATAGAAGTGCGTCGCTACTCTTAAGCAGATATACGATGTCTCGTTTTAGGTGAAACAGAACATGATGCTTTTGCTTGAACCTTTTAGGCTATGATATGTTCCGAACCGCTAAACATGCTTTGGATTACTTCAACGGACCCACAGGAGTGGACAATGTTTACTGCTTTCACGGAACGGGAGTCCCGACAATTGAAAAAGCTATCTATAAATCAGTTCTCCCTGGACGGAAGTCCTTTCCTGATCAGTGGCCTCAATTTGTGTACGGCGATGGCGATGGGTCAGTTAACCTACGGAGTCTGACTGTATGTAAGAATTGGACAAATGTGCGTTATTTGCAGCTTCCAGGTGTTGACCACCAGAATATTTTGAATAATGAATGCTTGTTCAGTTTACTTAGGAGGATTCTCCGCATCTCTTGAACAGATCTTGATGTCTGGCTGCCAGTATCATGTAAAATAGCAGAAGATATTTTCTTCGTTTTCCAGTCCGCTGCACAATGATGTTGTAAAATGCTTTAATGTGGATTAAGGTGAAAAGGATAATCCAAGTATACTGCATGCTCTCAATGACAAATACATTTTTGCATCAATAACACTCGAATTACCTTAGACGTTTCACTAGTGGTATCCAATGTGGCGAGGAGACACCTGCAAACGCAACACCAAACTCAAGAAACAGGCGACCTCCGCCTCTCGCACATCAGCTTGCAGATCCGCAAGAATTGCTATGAACTAAACTGAACTCAGGAGAATTATTGGATGTCAGAACATGGATAGGACTAGTAGCATTGATACAGAGAGATCGTCAGGCAAGTTAGTGCATGATCTGCTTTAGTTTATATGGATCAATGGCAGATGACTCCCCGGTGATTGGATTGCCTTTGTCATGGTCTGCTTTGACGTGAGAAACTGTTTGTATCAAGGGACTGAAGCATGCTGTGGGTTAGACTTCCATATACGGCACCTCTTTCTTCTATTGATAAGTCGGTCCAAGGGCTCCGGTCTTGCTTGCATTTGAATCGATCCCCTGGTCGACGTGATTTAGTCTGAGTCTCCATCTGTTGGATGTGGCAACAAAACTCTTCAAGCAATGACTGGCAATCTAGTTTGGGATTAGAGTCCGGCAGATGCTGGCCGCTGTTTGAGCGGAGTCGTACCTGGTTTATACAGAAGCGTTAGGTTTCGTCCTCGATCTCAGTTAACTAGATTACTCCTTTCGTTTGCCTGATAACTGCACCCAAAGTTTACTTCTTTTATTTCTGTCGCTAATATATGGCCCACAACAGGTCGTCGGGTTTCACATTCCTCACGGTCCCGTGTGGTTGGTATTAAGAAAAATCGGTATTTCTTCGGTCTGCCGCCTGTTTTTGCTAAGACTTGAGCGTTTCACAAACGGACCAGATTGGTCGGCCTAACAACATCTCTGATGGTAAACTTCCGTTACACGCTGGGCGTGTGATCACGCGATATTATATAAGCAATGTCTGTATACCGTTGTTTGTCGGTCCGTCCCCCGACTGTTGATCAGTGATCGCTTGAACAACTCGACGAACCCTTCAGACTGACTGCTTCACTGCTGGCAGGGTTGTTTTCGCATATGTGTGATCCCACTGGAGTCACAAAAGGTTGTGAATTACCTAGAGATAAACGATCGTGTATGATGCGATACGAATGTCGCTAACTTTCCTAAACAACTGAACGCCTGGAGCAGCTGTTTCTTAGTGGCCATTGTGGTGGTTGTGTTAGGCCCTTTGAGGACTTTTGGCCCAGTTGAGTAGGCGTTAGTCACAATGAAATATGACGTGCCTTCAATAGGCCCAACAAAGTCCATATGCATGCAAAACCAGGGCATTGCTTGTACAGGCCATAATAGCGTGGGTGTTTGCTTGGGTGTTCGTTGCGCCATCGCACAGTGTTCACCTTGTTTACACGTCTGCGCGAATTCGTCTTCGATTTGAGGCCAATATACTTAACCTCTGGTCTTGCTGATCCTTTGATGACTGCAATTGTGTTGGACGATAATAGACCGTTGTAACAAGGTGAGGACAACCACAAGTTCGGCGTAGATTAAACATGACAAAATATCCCAGGGCAGGTGGTTGGGAAACAGTTCGGTATCTATTACTCAAACTGGGTAGTTTTATTTCAAATTCTTCATTATCTTATACATTATGATGTCCTTGGTTGTGATGTTACAAGGATTCCGGCGAAACCGGAAGATACTTTGGGGTAGCAAGAATCACCTGATTGAAGTCCCGTCATATATTAACAGTAGAAATCCATGACTCATTGCTATGCCGGACAAAGCAATGTGCTCAGCCACCCGGAGACTTTCCGGTTATTGATTCCCCCAAGGCGATGAATGACAAGCCTTTGATTCCCTATTTTACCTTGCATGATGAAACCCAGTTACTCTGACTCCTACTCACAGTATGAACATTGATTAACCGCCCGATTTTACTAATCCTACCTACATTCAAGCATTGCTCAAACATGCTACACCAACACTATCTTACTCTCCGTGTGTTGACCCAGCGATTTCTACGGCAGACACGGCGAGGGTCTCACCTGTCTACCCATGCGTGCATTCACGACTGTTCAGCTCGTCTCGGCCTGTCTTTCCGGTCACATTCAACGGAGCATGTCGACCGCGCTATTGGTGAATTTTGTCCTATCCAAGCATTGCTGCCTCAGACGGAATTCTGACTACCCAGCATATGTCTATGCGCTTAGTTAGTCTATTTTGTCATGTTTTAAAGCGGTGCTTGAGGTTGTGCCCAGCCACTTGCTTGTACTTTTGTGCTTGAGGACATCTTTGAAGATTTGTAAGCTTTCGACCTTTATCGCCTGTTATTTGTACCGTAGTCAATCCGACTTGAAGGTTGACTTATTCCGGAGATTGTGAGTCAAGTCCCGCTCATGAATTTGTTTCCTGTGATCTGTTCCGGCGGTGAACAACGGAAGACCGCGCTTTCTGCTCAAGGTTCCTAAGCGTTTTGACGCTTACAGGTTCTGTCTGCCGAATGATGAGCATTTAACCATGACAAGGCATCCGATGGACCAAAATTGGTCACTATTTTGTACCTAATGCTTAAATCATGTGCCAGTAAGGATAAAGTCCATCTTTGTGGACGGCTTGCAGTAATTCCTTGAATAAATTTACACCAGTTGAATAAAGTAGGTCAAGGTTTGTTTTTCCTAACGCTGAGTGTCGACCATACATCATCTGTGAACTTTTGTTCAGAAAGTACGATATCCAAGGCTTTCTCTGTGGTGCCGATAACAATCGTGTCACTTGGATGACGGCTTTCTCAGCGACATGTAGAAAATTACGGGGTCTAAGGCTCCCAAGGCACAGTCGCTTGCAGCAGTGGCTACCACAATTGAAAGATTTGTAACGGAATGTGTGAAAGGAGATCGGTGGTCAACCTAATCTTTATACCATCAAATGTTGCCTGAGGCTGAAAGACCAGTTCCACTCGACCCATTTCATGAGCATATTGTTCGTGGCTTATTGCAGCCAATGTATTTCCGAGAGGAAATTAGAATCTTGCCTGACGATATCAATGCATAAACGTAGGATACTCAAGTGTGTCGATGCTGACATATTGAGACTAGCTGATACGTTCGCTGGATCAGGAAGAAGTCCGTTATGGTTTATGATAGTACTTTGTGCGAAACGACACAAGCACGAGCTGAAGTAAGAAAGACCGTTCGAGTAAAACAGCTACTGTAATTTGACAGCTGTCTAGCTAGGGTGAGTAACAGTAAAAAGACTGATAGTGAATAAAGCAGTTGTGGAGCAGCTAAGTGTGTAGGTATATGCGTGTCTGGGGTTATGTGCGAGTAGGCAGTGTAGGTCAAACCAGTGCCCATGGTGTGGTTGAAAGTAGAGAGTGAATACACAACATCGCCTCTGCATCGTCATGTGTAGCGTCGAAACCAAACAGGTTCGGTGGTCTTGTTTGTTAGCCTGTTAGACGCATCTCTGTACTGTGCATAGTTTTCTCAGTGCAGGAAGGTGGCACATGTTCCGTTCGCCTGTTACTAGTGAATAACCATCATGTGTTGATTGCGCAGCCACTTTCTAGCCAGTAAGTGCATTACCACATGCACGCTTTATCCTCATGGGATCAGAGAACGTGGGTTTTTTTTGACGCGGCGTTTACCTTCACGCGCACGAAGGTTTCAAGCTGGAGTTGGGTAGTAAACTTCCGGTAAGTGGTCTGATATCGATGCCGACGATCCAGCCCGTTGAAATTAGTAGTTTCAAGAATGGGAGGTGCGGCGTTAAACTTTGACTGAAAAGCAAGCCCAAGCGCGATTTCAGCCGGCGTTTTGTGTGTGGTTCGGAGAAATGCTAATCGGTAAGAAAACAGTGCTTGTAGCATGAACCCCATTGGATGATAAAATTCGATACAAACGAACATATGTTTCAAAAATTCCCCTTCAGGCTAGTACAAGCACACGTGAAAAAACAGGATGTTTGACACAACGTAAATGTTTATAAAATAAGTTCGGTTTACTATCACTGATCGAGGATAATCATTATCCGCTAGGTCCCAAATGCGGTGTACACACCATTCTGTGAGCTGGATGTCTCCGTTCTGGTTGGCTAAGGCGGTTTTAACTCCCAACCAGCACCGTATAACAGAATACTTTGGATACACTCTTTCAACCATCGATGGAAACGCTCTACCATGCCCATTGCTGCTGGCTTATACAGGGTAGTACGCGAGGGTCAGATGGCTTGAAGTTGGAAGAACGAAAGAAACTCGCGGCTTGTAAACTGCTGCCGCTGTCAGTCCCTCTCTCATTCAGGTGTCCAATGCGCGAGAACATATAATTCAGCCATCGAATAATGCTGGCAGTATTCACTTCCTGGCACAAATGTACTTCCAACCAGTTAATGTATAAGCATGTTGCCTCCAAACATTTCTTTTGATGCTGAGGCACTGAGGTGAATGGACACATGACAACAAGACCTATTTGGTCCATGGTCGCATAGGATAGCTAATGTGTTGTATTGATGAGGAAACAGGTATTGAAACTCTTGTATGCCCTTTGACATGCAGAACAGCCACGAACAAGTTTCTATTTCGCGTGACATTCTGGGCCACCAGAAGCATGCGTCAACCTTTCGTTTCCTATGACCGATGCCAGGGTAGCCATCACGAACAAATATCATGGTCTTTTGAATCAAGCTTCGATGAGCCACAAATTTTAGGCGCGCTTTAAATATTCATCTATAGATGAAAGTTTGTGACACAAGACGTACTCGATGTGAAACTTCCCTCTGATCCTGTCATTTTGTTGCTAAACGTTTAGCATGGACCGCTGAACTCGGCAAAGCGTGTCGTCTTCTGGAGT